ACCGTTTTATAGAGGTAAAGGGACAACTCGGCTTATTGAACGTCGTTAATTACTAATTATTATACGGTCGATCAAGTCAATGAATACGGAAAACCCAGACAAGTTAACGTGAAGCGGTCATAAAAACTAAAGAGAGGACAAAATAAATAGAGGGGACGACACCATGGGCAGTAAAAACAAACCATTGAGGGGACAAAATCATGGGTAGCACAAAATTAACCATTGACGAACAAACCATTTAGAGGACGAGAGGACAAAATAATTGATTTGGAAAAAAAGGGATTGTGAAAAACATACCATAGCGACAAGATCAAAGACGGGTGGAGACTTAGGTGTGGGTGGAAATCCAATGTGAAGAACAGAACATTAGAGGGTATTAAACTATTAACAGTTGAAATCGATATAGAATGAAACTAAAAAATCAATATTACTTATAGACAAACCGATAAAAATGATAAAGCCATAGAGAGGATGAAACTTTAAACTTGAGCGCAATGAGAAGAAAACTAGAGAAGAGGGAAATTTTACAAAAGACCTGAACACATGTAATTGGTGCTTAACCACAGAGTGAGATAAATACATAAAGGGGAAGAAAGTATAGAATAGGGATGAAATACACAAGCGACCACAGAAAGGAAAAAACTAAAGACGCAGAATGAAGACAAAATCATTATGAGAGCAACACCTTTGAAACCACTGAATCGGGGTAAAAGCAGAAGCGTAAGAAACCATGGAGATGATGAAACGTTTGAATTCGGAAAAATCATAAAATGGTTAATAAACGGATGAAATCATGAGTCGATGAAACCATTGATCAGTAAGATAAAATATTATTGTACTTTATTTGAACATTATGAATAGAACATAGTTTTTCAATCGTTCCAAAAAGCGAGCAACTTTTATATAAATAAATAAAAAGATAAATCAATATATTATCTAAGTATTCGTCTAGTTGACCTACTTCGTTACTGGTATTGGTCAACGTCAGATAGTATAGATCAGGATGTAAAGGTTGTATCCTGTTATCAATTAATAAAACGGTGATCTCTGTGATCAGGGAGTCCATCATCAGTCGATATACTGTACGTATAGATCCGTGTTTGTCGTCTACAGTGTACTGCTTAACACCGATCCACCATCGATCGACATTACTATCGTCATTCAATCTCCACCGTACAAGCGTCTCACGATCGCCATCAATGCTCTCTTAACACACTCATCTATGAGGTTTAAAACTGACAGGTTAAAAACAATCTATACATCACATGTGTAACTAAGTTTTACGACTCGCGTGGATTCATTCAGTCAACAACCAACCCGTCAAGATCATTTTAAAAAAGAGGTTTGATATATATATACAGAAAATAATAAATCGTTAGATATGTGCTTAATACGATATACGGAAGCAAAGTCATGCTTGACTGTTTTTTCGTGATTGATGTACCTTGTTCATGTCGAATAGTTGTGTTAAGGCTCTTTTCATGACAGCTTGTAGATATATTAACCTCTAAAGTAATTACAGTCAATCACGAAACATTATCAATATGAGTCTAAAGTTATAGGTGTGTCCCAGAGTCAACGCGCAAATACAAATCAGGAACTTTATTTAAAGTTTTCCTTTATACAATTAGCTTAGAAATATCCACACGGCTTGGTCTTCTTGGTCATCCTATCCAAGGAAGGAAGAGTGAATAGACAACAGCAGTTAACATTTCAATTTTCTAGTATATCAATCATGTATGTCCAGGTAAACAGTTCTAAAAATCAATACAAAAAAGACAACAATAGGATCATCGACATCAAAACAATAGGAAATCGAAGGTAACCCCCTAAAATGGAGACCGTATGCTCCGGAAGGGTAAGCGTTTTCTGTATCCCATGTGACACTCTTATTGACTTCTCCCATCTTATCCATGACAGAATGTCGATAACCAACATTTTAACTTGTGATGAAGATGACTTGTACATAGAACCCCAAGGATCCCCAAAAAGTCATGTCCTAATGACAACCGCAATATTTTACAGTAGATTGGAGCATGTTCGGTAGAAATTATTAGCTACGTCAAGAGAACGCATCTATCCAGATATAAAAACGAATCCTTAGGATTGGCTCTTGAGCAAATGTGACATGAAAACACCATAAGCTTGGCAGTCTGGTATGTTATTGCCGTGGAAAGTGACAACACGTAAAATTGACTACTGGAATGTACACAAAATTGTAATTAGAAATACTGTGAAATCAATAACTATCGCGGGTTTTTTAATTACGTTGAATTTGTGAGTGCTCTCCATCCACCAAAGCATAGTTCCACAAAGTAATTACAAGTTTGCCATAAAACCCACGAATTCATGTACGCACGAGAAGATGGGTCCCTCTGTGAAACTACGAAAATTATTCCCCAAGTAAATATCTGATATATCATTACCTTGAAAGTATCAAGGATAGATATTAAGGATAATATCCAGGTATTCTGGAAGTAAACAACGCCCGCCATATGAATCAAGGTCATGTCCAATTAACGTCTCGTCCACAATGTGAGATAGAGGGAGTAACAACACAAAGACAACCATTGACCTTCGTATCGCATAAGGATGACGTCGAGCTATAGCAAACACCTCCAGCCACGCTGTTTCGGGAAATCCATATTTAAATTCACAACAATACACTAGCCAACAGCATTGTTGCGTGTTCGCTAGAGCATGACGTTAACCTCATGCATATCGAAAAAGTTGCTGTATTTCTAGGAAAATCTTCGAAAGATCGAAATTGTGTGTGATGTCGAGGGGAACGCGGAAGGTGAATAAATGCTGTATGCGTGGTTAAATAAAAGAGAAGGTATCCATCTTTAAAACAGTACCCATCCTTTTTCTCGTAGATCAACTAGAAATGTGGGGGTTTTTTATTCGAGGGAGTTTCGGTGTGGTCAATTTTTGTCATCGAGAGATTTGCGGGAGGCACTTTTTACCGAAAATTGTTCATAACCCCTAAATGTGTAGTATTATACATCATCCATGTGTTCTTGTTTCTGATTAGTCAATACGATATCACGTGACTAAAAACAATCGTTATGTCATCCACAGTAGTGCTGCATTACTACTACTTTCGTTATGTCGCCCCGAAATCGTTATATTGCCCTCGTCATGACGCCCTCTCGTGAGCCTCTTCTGTCACCCTCTCGTGAGCCTCTCCCGATAGTCTCTAGAAGTAACGTACTAGCATACGATATTCCTAGAGAGTTTCCGGTAAGCGTTTCTATCAACAAAGATGGCTGCTTCTGGTAGGTAACGTCTGCCGTCTGAGGAAGGAATGCTTAAGGTGCAGGAAATGGATTCGAAGAATACGAAAAGAATAATTAACGGGTCAGTGGAGTCATTCTAAAAACTTTCTGCAGTCAACAGGCCGTGATTAAGTATTTGAGAACTTTGATAATTGAACTTTAGTCCGTCGGTTGGGTGCATTTTGTGCTGGTGTTCACCGAGATATTGTCTATGCACAGCCTAAAGAACGGGCTAAAGAAATATGTGACGGACACGAGTTCTTATCATCGTCCATCATGTACAAAGCCGTAATTTGTGATTTGAAAAAGAAGGGATATGGGAAAATTGGTCCACCCTCAGGTGTGACATAACGACTCTCAGGTGGTCAAGTCGTCATGTCATCCCATATTGAGGGCATCAATTGCATAATATTACTCGAAAAACCTCAGTTAAGGTCAAAACAAAAGCTCAGGTCCCTGTTGTTTTTAGAATATATTCAAACAAGTATTGGTACAATCCGATCGGTCACGCCACTATGGTGATCACACGACCAAATGGTGTTACAAAGTCACAACACATATTGTATTCTTTATGTATTATAATGAGAGGTTATAGATATAATGTTTATCCCGCTAGTGATATATACCTTCATCACATGCATGTATGAATTATATTTGTTAAAATGACAGGATTTGATATGAGCATTATCGTTCCAAAGACAGCTGAAGGGAATGACGTGATAACACAACAAGGGCAGGTAACTCATATGTTAGAAAATGGGCACATGGTAGGTATGCCAACAGTAATCTAGACACTAAAAGGATAACGACATTGAAATGAGGGTAGAACGGAAAATGGAAGGTTAGAGAGCAACATTTGCAGGGTATTTGATGATTAACACAATCAATATACGTCAATATTCCCATAATTATACGGACATTGTGCGAGATTTATTACGTCAACACGTGACACGCGTTAGCCAATGAGATAAGGGGACACTAGGCAGAGGTGTGATATCTAGATATGCCTGATAAGTATTTTTTGATCTTCAATTGTCATTTTCAGATTATTCAAAAGAACTCCGGAAACATTCAGTCCGTTTCGTTGTCTGTACAGTTACATGGATAGTTAAGCTGATGTATTTTCGCTCTACTATAAGAACGTAAGGGACATTATCGTTTTGTACTACAAGCTGATATTGACGTGGTCGATGGCTATTTCTCTGTTATGGCCCATTTCTTGTTACCCCATTAGGCCGATTATGTAGATGATGTGTAATATGATTGTGTCATTTATATAATTTGCATATTTTCCTTAAAACCTTAAGTTCAGTCTTTATCATTTTGTCATCATTTCCGCTGGCCTTCTATTTGGCACCATTCTTTGCTCATCATAGTAACTTCAACAGGTATGATTGGCTTTTGGTCCTAACGTTTCAACAATACATTATGTATATGCCACTAATTGCTATGCGTTAGATCTAGCTCAAGTGTCATACCTTATTCAACATTTAAAGGATGTTTTAGAAAGACTGCACTCTATCGTGTCTCAGTTAAGATTATGTTACACTTGAAAATCCAAGTTTCTATTTAAAATATGTGATTTGAAAACTGAGACAACTCCCTGATTATTAAGAAAACAGAAAGACTCGAGTCAGATTCATGCGAACAATGTAGTTGTGATTGATTACCTGACATGTGAAAACTGAAATAAACACACCAGTGTTGCTGTAAATAGCTTACCTTTGACATCCATGTTGCCATTGGCTGTATCCCCTTGACACGTGGACATGTCGTAGGACTGTGGGTTGATATTTCCGATGGTGCGGGGTAGCAGTCCCGACATGTCCATCCCGTCCGCAGTCCGGTACCCAAGGGCGATGTCTCGCTGGGGTCGGGTTTCAAGCATCCCATGAACTCCGCTAACGAAAAGAGCCTCATACACAACACCCGCCAGGGTCTGTAGTACAAAGTCTCGGAAGGAATAGTAAAACGATTCCAAAATATCGTTTTCAAAATTACATGTGGGATTGGCATTTTTGCACATGAAAGTTAAAAACAGTTCTGATATTCGAACTAAACATGGTGTATTTGTTATGTTTTTAATTCGCATAAGCGGCAATAACCCACAAGATGCGAAGAATGTTTCATCGCTAGTAAATTTATTAGAACTACTTCCTGTTGCAGAATTACAAATAGTATCTAAAACATAACTGTCGCATATGTTTTGTAGTTGTAGATTTGTAAGTTGTGCATCAGACACTCCGAGAAGACTGGAATTTAAAACAGTTTGGTATAAAGCGTTCACCTCTGTTTCAAGTATACCGGTCCCTGATCTTTTGTTCAATATGGCAGCTTTATACTCAGAATCGTTCACTTGTATCCACTCCCCAATGGAGATATTGCGCAACTTATCAAAACTGGTGACATTTCCAGATAAAGCACTCACGCACGTGCTACTAAGGCATCCAAACAATTTTAAAACGTCTGCATTAAATCCAATTTGCTTTGATGTTGATGCCCACAACGTGTTGTTGAGTACTTCCGGTATTTGGCTATAAATATAATTTTCCATGCCATTTACCCTGTCGACAAGCTGAAGATGCCTTGTGTTGAGAACTGTAATCTGTAACAGAGACAAACCGTTTAACGTCTATTGATTAATGGTGTAAAGGGCGTCAGTATCCCAGTTACCCGTAAATCTTATGTCAACTCAGGAACAGCTGATTACATCACCGATAAACAGCATCGTGTGTATGAGTTAACAACTGCATAATCTAAAAGGGCAAAGATTTTATTCTCTTATCTTAAAAAAAAGTTCTTCGATATCCATTTTTGTCCTAATTTTAGTATTTTTAATACTGAAATACACCTTTTGAAAATTTGAATTAGAATTAAAGTAGAACATACGAACTGCTGGAATAATATCACGGTTACGTCAAGCTAACCAGAATTAAACCGTCTTCGTCTTTGTATCTCGTGGCATCAAGAGATCAAGGAATTTCGTAAGACGCAAACCACGGCAGAATAATGGTATTGCATAACAGCCACTTTTCACAGCAAAACAACACAAACACCATACATCGTGCAAAGTGATTAGACCAGTCAATATACGTGCTCGAGAATCTCTCTGCGGGGGCATTTCCTAGAATGACTACACGAGTATTTGAATGTATTTCTAATCGGTTCGTGCTCGCTTATTTCGCTAACGTCCTGATTTGTTACTAATGTTAAATAAACAACAATGCAGTAAGACAAACATCTAACGTGACATGTTTTGTTTTGTCCACTAACTAGTAATGCTGCAGACTCAATGCGAGCAAAAGTACGGAGGTGTTTCGACCCCAAAGTCGCCAGATGCAGTTTATATCATATCAAGGTCTTAAATATGTGTTTTTTTGCTTTTGTCTTGGTTTATGTCCTCAAAATAGCTAAGATCATTGAAAGACAGGAGAAACAAAATTGCAAAGAAAACAGTTTGTAGGTGAGACAGAAAGATTGTTGGGTAACGAATGATTCTTTGGTCTATTTTATGTTCCCCTTTACTTTGAAAACGGATTTTATCTGGCTATCATCAAGTATTTAATGTTGTCATGTTTTTATGTCATTGTGACGTCTCACTGTCATGACGGCACGTCCATTGTTTCAATTTGACGTCATTATGGGTGCTTTTAAATGAGCTAATACGCCAAAATATGCGACATGCATATTAACTGAATAACATGGTAGCGTTAAATCTGGAGTACGTACCGTATCAGTCTCCGAACAGTCGGCGCACTGAGACTTTGTAGCAGTGACGTCAAAAATCTGACTGATGTTATTGCTGAAACTAACACGTGACTTGGAAAACAAAATGGCCGTCTTGTGTCGGTATTCACGATATACATATGGGCCACGCTGTGAGAGCTGAAAAACAAGAACAAAATTTGTTGACTCAAATATTTCTTACGTATTTTGTATAGTTACAATAGCAGATTAAATTTTCATTTTGTGGTCACGATTAATGGATTAACTTTTATGACTTGTCTCGGGTTAATTGATAGCTAACGCGAAAAATTCAAGTAAATATTAGTGGTTTAAGATATTAAAAAATATCTTAGATTTGATGAAACTCGGAAGCATAGAACTTGTCGCTAAATATACCATGTTCTGTCAAAAGATATCTGCTCAATGTCGAACATGTTAAATTATTATAAATGCCCTAATTTAAGTCCAAATCAATTGATAAGTTACACATAGACAGACGATGATATTTCATGTCCACAATTTTATTGACTTACGAAGTATACACCAAATTAACGGATTACAATCTAATTAGGAGGAGATTGCCGTTATGCAAATTCAAGGAGTTCCGGGTTTATTTATACTTTCACCATCCGCTGTATTTAATTATGGCAACACAACTTATCCAATGAGCGATGTCGATTTTAAAATTCATAATATGATGTTACATATCTGTTTTGAAATATTACATATCTTAAATGTTATATTTGATATATTATATAGCATATACGACATCAGATATATTATATATACAATAATATATGATATACCATCTAAGATCAATAGAGTTTATCATATGTAGATATCAAGGATTTGGGATTTCCATATCCTCTTCATTATTGACATTTTTCTTCTACTTTTACCAAAGATTTTGATAAGACTCAGTTGATACTGACCATTGCCAGTGTTAATAAATGTACTGACCACTGGTTTCTGACCGTTGTACAGGACTCCGGATGGGTTTGTGACCACCCAGTAATATAGTTTGTTATAGCGGTTCCATTCACTCTCCGTAACCTGTAACATACAAAACTTATCAGTTCTATTCTCTTTCCGAACCGGTAAACGTGACAACTTATCAATTCAATCCACTCTCCAAAACCTTTATCATACATTCGAAAATCTGCAGCAGGCAAAGATATCAATTCCAACATTCACACACTCAATTTCATTCGATTATCGAAAGCTGTAACAAAATACCAAAAATAAATACTTTCACTCAATGAAAGCTGCAATATAAATAAATTTTCAATTTTTTAACTTTCCTTAAATTCAAGCATTAACTCTTTGCAACACACACAAAATGAATTCTTAAAAGTTGGTCATTTAACTGACTGACACCCTCTCTTTTTCTTCAGGAATCATAAACATGTTTACATGTCAGAAATAGAATGTCCTGCATCCCGGAAATGACGTAACAGGAAAGAAAACACTAGAGGACTGTTTAACAAACAAAAATTAAGCGCGTTTACTGAATAAACAAGATTTATTCATAACGTCGGTATGTTTTGGATAAACACACGCTATTGAAGTGTTGTCTTAATCTGCATGTCAATGTTACAATGTTCTTTATAAAATCAGATATACATGTACAGATATGCGCAATTAATCACTTTTGTAGGATATAGATGCATGAGATGTACCCATTATGTACCCTCCGGTCACGTGTTCACAGAAAATAACTGACTCATATATGTCGTCATCAACATTTGCTGCATGGGTCCCATGGGAGCTGTCAGCTTTGCTCTTCCACTCGTGTGGGTCAGAAACACTCGGGCGAATATAGTTGTATTAAAAGTCCATTACATTGAGCTGTCCAGATGACTGACATCGTATATAAACTCTGTTGGTTAACCAGACTCCAGGTAAACCTCAAGTTTCATACACGCAAATTTTAAGAATTTGCTTATTTAAGTGATAACGCAATATGGTGAAGGATCATTATAGGGTTAATTTTAGATGCATAAAAGAGGTTTTAATCACTGAAGAGCAATTTCCCTGATATTAGAAATTTGATCTTCGAATACAAATAAATTACAATCTTACAAAAATTAATTAATCCTTTCATATACAATGTACAGGTACTAGACTGCCGGTGATAGGTTAGATTCAAATTGAATAAAAAATAAGCCTGTTAGATGTTTAGGTCAGTTTGAAGCTAATGAAACAACATGCGGATCCAGTGGAATTAGCCTCGGAATATCGACGTTTTTAGATGTCTAAAATGTTCATCCCGGGTTTGATCAAACGGTGACCTTAAATCAAGTAATCCCCTACTTACACAGGTATGCAGTATGGGAGCTAATTATGGCATCTCGGAAGTCATGTAAACGTATATTGATGGTAAAATAGGCAGCGTGCAGGAGTTAGTTGGCCGGTATTTAGAGAACCATTAACTTTGCTCTCTCCTCGTTTGTTCTATTAGTTCACCTTAATTGTCACTTAATTTACTCAACAGATCATAAATGACGAAAACAATTTAATTCTTATTCCTGTTTGAAACGACATTAAATGCTAGACTTTGTTTGTTTGTTTGATTTTGTTTAACGTCCTATTAACAGCTAAGGTCATTTAAGGACGGCCTCCCCTGTGTGCAAGATGCATGCGTGTAGTGTATGTGTGTGTATTTTGGGAGGCTGCGATATGTTCGTGTTTGTCTCCTTGTGATAGGGCGGAACTGATGCCGACTCTATAGTGCTACCTCACTGAAACATACTGCCGAAGACAGACTTTTCACTGTAATTAACCGTTGGCATTAATAACATTGGTGTCATGCTTTTACACATTCCCTAGGGAAATTCTATAATTTAGCTTAATGAGAGCTACAAAATGTATGTCCGGCTAGACAACATCAATATTGAGGGTCTGAACAGTAAATGAGCAATAGAAATACGAAGTTAAAAAAATAATATTTGAAATTTTATTTAATCTATGAAGAAGCCAGGCGAGCTAAATTTAGTTTCACTTACAACAGTCCATAGCCCATAGTGAGTCGGAGGAAACATGGCGATGTTAACAGTCCATAGCCCATAGTGTGTCGGGGGAAACATGGCGATGTTACAAGTCCATAGCCAATAGTGAGTCGGAGGAAACATGGGGATGTTAACAGTCCATAGCCCATAGTGCGTCGGGGGAAACATGGGGATGTTAACAGTCCATAGCCCATAGGGAGTCGGAGAAAACATGGCGACGTTAACAGTCCATAGCCCATAGTGAGTCCGAGGAAACATGGCGATGTTAACAGTCCATAGCCCATAGTGAGTCGGAGAAAACATGGCGACGTTAACAGTCCATAGCCCATAGTGTGTCGGGGGAAACATGGCGATGTTAACAGTCCATAGCCCATAGTGAGTCGGAGGAAACATGGTGATGTTAACAGTCCATAGCCCATAGTGAATCGGAGGAAACATGGCGATGTTAACAGTCCATAGCCCATAGTGAGTCGGGGGAAACATGGCGATGTTAACAGTCCACAGCCCATAGTGAGTCGGAGGAAACATGGAGATGTTAACAGTCCATAGCCCATAGTGAGTCGGAGGAAACATGGCGAGGTTAAAAACCTCGTAGCTTGTACGATTCTCTTCAGTTTTACCACAATAGCGTTGCATTGATAAAACAATTTAAATGAAAAAGTTCAACAGCTGTTTTGTGATTAAAATAACACACAAAACACCAAAAAACAAGAAGGTCTTGAATATCTGTCAAAAAAGATTTATTTATCCGTGTTCATTTAAACGTAAGAACGAATAGCAAAATGTATAGCATGTGTATTAAGAGTAATACAACATGAGAAAATATATAGCCTGGTATGCAAAGAAGTCGATTGTTAGGTAGTTATTCTGAATAGTCACATAGGCAATCATTGTTCAAATATATGTCTACTTCTGGTGATTCAACCACCCTCTCCGGGTTGATACACCAATCAATGTCTTCGTGTGTGTAGGGAATACAATATATTCTTATGTTATACGGATCGAAAGGTGGGAACTTTATCTACAAATACAAATCTACAAATCTACAAACATTTTCAAAATAGTAATAGTCTTTTTACTAAGAACTCATTAATTTGTAAACGAAAACAAAACACTAAAAAAACCGGCTCAATCTGACCTAACTTGTGCTTACAATGTCCGACGCAATGTCCGGTAGACCTGCTCATCATTGAAATGACGTTGTCCTTTCAGAAAACGTGGCGATGTTATAGAAATGTCAATAAAAACGGCTTGGTGGACAAATAATTAAATTTATTAACAAATTAAAACAATTGAGTCTCTCAATGCATCAGTTTATATTTTTACATGTACACCCTCACACTCAGCTGCATCGGAATCGACGATGAACCGGACAGGCACCTGCACCGTACACAGTTGGGATTTGTAAAGTATGAGAAGGTTCTCTATGTAGAGTTTGCTTTAAAAACAAAGATGTAATTCTGTGACATTATATCAACTGCATTTGTTTTAACTGAGCTTCGTCTAAATAACATTCTACGGTGGATTTGCAATATTAAAATGTAGAGTGTGTAGGTATCATTATATTATTAAATTCGTATGTGCTAATAGCATATCTTGCATTGATATCCCTATATTTGCAATCTGTTTTCATTATGTTTTATCTTTTAGGGAAAATGTTAGCTATAACAGCTGTTGTCAGTTAAAATCAGACATGTTCAATGTTAAGTATTAAATCAATGCGATCCCAGTACGAAATTTTGAACCTCGCCACCACTTCTTTCTGATTGCAATTTGAGTAATTACGAATGGCGGCTAACTCATAATAGACAAATGATTGACTGTTTTCAACCCCAGTCAAGACATGAGAGAAGCTATAGTTTGGGAAACATACCATCCTACTTCAGATAAATAATACCCAGATAAATTCTTACAGATATTCTAAACCCAAGCTTTTTATAAACAAGAAAAATGCTACAAAATTTCAATTTAGATGACTGAGAATAATTTCAAGATTTCTGCATCATCTTATTTCACATCCCAATACAACTATGGTCCAGCTGATTAAATTTCCTAAGTGCCTTGCGATCTAGGTATTAGCCATATGCAAAGATATGAGTACCTTCATAAAGGGATCAAAATATCGAGAAAATCCTACTTGAATTCGAATGCGAAGTTCAAGATACTAATGTTTTATTGTGGAAGACTACGCCAGACAATGTGCAAAACGAAAGCATGCTGAATTCGATTCACTTTCATAGTGTGTTTGATATATCATTTCCATCATTCAAAAACAATTAACAGCTCGAGTCCAAAATGAAAATAATTTAAAACACAAGACACAGTATTTCTTGACCCCGATGTCTTAACCACACTCAACGATCTGTATTTAGTTGTGGCTGCAGAAAAAGCGTCTAACTTATACTTTGCCTGCAGCCACTATACCATTTTCTGTTTGTAAAAATAACACTAGGTTTTGCTTGATAACCAAGGAAACCATACCTACTAAACTTCGGGTTTTTTGAAAGAAAAAATACTATCAAATCATGCTTATGTATAATCATATATCCGAATACCAATTAATGATAAAAACATGGACATTCCTTGTTTGCATTGGATTTAAAAACTTCACAAGAATTCCCATTACAACGTGTCATCGACGGGACTGCTAGTTGCTCAACTAAGCCGTTATCCAAATGTATTTCCTTCTTTCCTTCTCAGTACCATTCTATCAGGGTAACAGTAGCATTGTGACAATAAATACTCTAGCAGTGGAATTAAGTGAATGTGGATTTTGGAGAACTCGAACAATCTTTCGATTAATCTTGAGCATCCTCTCCTCAAAAATGTATCAACGCTCTCCTTGTTTAATTTTGAAAGCTTTCTTTCCCAGTGTGTCAGTTTAAATTCCGGTTGGCGTTTAAGCATGTAGGCTCATATTAAAAAGAAATATTCCAAAGGAATTGTAGGCATTTTTAAATGCTGTTTTGGAATACTTCATCGTTGCATAGTTATAGATGCAATTTTTGATCAATACTCTGTATGTTAAGTATAAAATTTTATGTTATATACTTAACAATTGTGAAAAAAGGAAACATAGCCGGCAGACACAAAGTGCGGAAATTCTTATTATTAAGATAAATATTGTAATAATAAATTTTGATCATGTACGTGCTAAGATAAGGGTGTGTTAATATAGTAATGGATTATGACTGTGTGTAGTACTACATACATGTAAGAGTATTGTAAGTAATTCTGAGTGTACCCACTAAGGGTAGCTCTGATATTTTATAAAGATTTGTTGGATTTTGCACCATATTGGAGGATAATTAATTCCCCTGTGTTGGATAGTATATACGTTTCCAATCCCAGCTGTATATATCCGTTGTCAACATCAGCGCAGTTTAGTCCCACAAGTATCGCATGTCCTTTGTTTAGTGTTTTCCAACTGTAATTTCAACTAGGGATCATGCATACGTGGTATGTAGGAGATGTCAGCAGGTGTAGGTCAATTCCATATCTACCTTAGCATGGCCGTACTTTACTTAATTGTTGAAAATCATGCTAAGACCATTACAAGACAAATATCGCGTTTGAACACGAAGCAATGCTGATTTGTACCGTGATGGCCTAAATAGATAGTCCCCTTGGTACAGGTAAATATATAGGCTCTAAAGGTGAATGTCGATATAGGTACCACAATGTTTTAAACCTGGTAGAATTGGAAATCGCCTGCCAGTCATTAATTTTTCATTAGTGTTTCATAGCTTCCTGAACTGTGGACCAAATCGCGATAAATTATTCATAGACGGGATCGGGGGGAAACAATGCGATGTAAAAATCAGTGAGAGCGAATCGTGATGTAGAGACAAAACCTGACAACTAATACAGATCTGGACAATAGAAATGACACCAGTCTCTCCCATAAACAGTAGCGTGTTGAATGTATTAACATGAATGGCCGAGACTGGGTCACGATCCTAGAAGAATAACGTAGATAATTGTAATTGTTTGACCATCCTTTTACTAGAATTGTCTAGCGGCGTTCACTGCTGATGAATTAATCAAATGAAATGGAATTCTGCTATTTAGAAATGTACCTGATGTTGTTGACGCCTATTTTGCGATATTCAATAACAGTGTGTTAGAAAGTTCAAAATGTCGCATACAACATTCAATAATCAGATTTACACTTTGATAACATTGAACGGTCGATTGGAGATGAAAGAACGAAATAGAAGTATAAAGATGAATTCATGTGGTGATAAATACGGACATTAAATACCTCAGGGGTACTGGCAACAACAGGAAAAACCTAGATATTAACCGAATAATACCAAAAGAAACTGTCATCAACTCAAAAAAATAGTTAGCTGTAATGAACACAACAATTAAAGTAGAAATATCAACAATATGAAATAGCACAGGAACATGGCTACAACATGAAATATAAACGGTATGAAATACCACAAGTAAACTGCCATCAGCATAAACACAGAACTGTATTCAACATGAAAATCAAAAGGAGAAATATTACAATTATGAAATACCTCAAGTGAATGTTCAGCGACCAGCAGTACAATAAATTAATGAATAGGAGACATATTTACAGCTGTGGTAATACACCGTACATAGTACTGAGTGATTAGTGTGTGTAGCTCATAGCCCACAATCCACTCTTTAAAGCACAATCGCGTTTAATAAAAGTTATTTGTAAATGCAAATTCCTGTTACTTATATCTTAAATTTTGTCTGAAATACACAATTTATATACGTTTGCTCACAAACGAAGTGAGTGCTTGTAACGGCCTTTGTCGCCCTATACTCTGTTTTATATTAAATCAACCTTTAAAACAGGACACAAATTGTGTGTAAAGAGAAACAGTACTTACCCATTCGGTGAATAGTTCGTGCTCTGTACTGGTCACACATTGTTCTTCAATCACACGATTTTGGGCGAAGTCTGGAAACTGGAGTCCGATAATCAGTCCGACCGCCAAAATGATGAGCGCAACAATAAAAATCCCCGCCCCTAGAATCGCCGTGGAAAGATCCAGCGCCGGAGGACGGGGTTCCTGCTCGGGGTATTTTTCATTCCACGTGGCCCTTGTCATAGCCAGGTCTGGCCTCCTCACGTACGAAACACCATGCTAAACTGCCCACCCTGTTACGGCGGTCAGTGATCTAACTATAACGGCTTTATCGCTATTGATGGTTATAGATGCGGTCGAGTCCATTGCACGTGTTTCTGACATTCCTAGTTCAACAGGATTGATTGTAGCATTGACCATATGTTTGCGGCCGCATCTGTTGACATAAATGTGTGAAACTGAGCGTGATATATGTCCATGGTAATGAATGTCTCTAATGAACACTAATTAGGCGCCTAAAGAATAAGTAAATAGACCAATTTACCGGTTTCTGCCGACACTCTGCACGCCCGAGGTTGTGGGTTACTAATATCGATCCTGTACCCGACTTGACAGTATCAGCTGTGAAATAGCGATGACAGTCAGGAGGAACGTTTTGCCTCGACTGCTGCCTCTTGAAACCACGTACCAATCAGCCCCTACCCAAAGGCCTCCATTCACAATCAGCCCCTACCCAATAGCCTCCATTCACAATCAGCCCCTACCCAAAGGCCTCCATTCACAATCAACCCCTACCCAAAGGCATCCATTCTCAATCAGCCCCTACCCAAAGGCCTTCATTCACAATCAGCCCCTACCCAAAGGCCTCCATTCTCAATCAGCCCCTACCCAAAGGCCTCCATTCACAATCAACCCCTACCCAAAGGCATCAATTAACAATCAGCCCCTACCCAAAGGCCTCTATTCACAATCAGCCCCTACCCAAAGGCCTCCATTCACAATCAGCCCCTACCCAAAGGCCTCTATTCACAATCAGCCCCTACCCAAAGGCCTCCATTCCCAATCAGCCCCTACCCAAAGTCCTCCATTCACAATCAACCCCTACCCAAAGGCCTCCATTCACAATCAACCCCTTCCCAAAGGCATCCATTCACAATCAGCCCCTACCCAAAGGCCTCTATTCACAATCAGCCCCTACCCTAAGGCCTCCATTCACAATCAGCCCCTACCCAAAGGCCTCCATTCACAATCAGCCCCTACCCAAAGGCCTCTATTCACAATCAACCCCTACCCTAAGGCCTCCATTCACAATCAGCCCCTCCCCAAAGGCCTCTATTCACAATCACCCCCTCCCCAAAGGCATCCATTCACAATCAGCCCCTACCCAAAGGCCTTCATTCACAATCAGCCCCTACCCAAAGGCCTCCATTCTCAATCAGCCCCTACCCAAAGGCCTCCATTCACAATCAACCCCTACCCAAAGGCATCCATTCACAATCAGCCCCTACCCAAAGGCCTCCATTCACAATCAGCCCCTACCCAAAGGCCTCCATTCACAATCAGCCCCTACCCAAAGGCCTCCATTCACAATCAACCCCTACCCAAAGGCCTCCATTCACAATCAGCCCCTACCCAAAGGCCTCCATTCACAATCAGCCCCTACCCAAAGGCCTCCATTCACAATCAGCCCCTACCCAAAGGCCTCCATTCACAATCAGCCCCTACCCAAAGGCCTCCATTCACAATCAGCCCCTACCCAAAGGCCTCCATTCACAATCAGCCCCTACCCAAAGGCCTCCATTCACAATCAGCCCCTACCCAAAGGCCTCCATTCACAATCAGCCCCTACCCAAAGGCCTCCATTCACAATCAACCCCTACCCAAAGGCCTCCATTCACAATCAGCCCCTACCCAAAGGCCTCCATTCACAATCAGCCCCTACCCAAAGGCCTCCATTCACAATCAGCCCCTACCCAAAGGCCTCCATTCACAATCAGCCCCTACCCAAAGGCCTCCATTCACAATCAGCCCCTACCCAAAGGCCTCCATTCACAATCAGCCCCTACCCAAAGGCCTCCATTCACAATCAGCCCCTACCCAAAGGCCTCCATTCACAATCAGCCCCTACCCAAAGGCCTCCATTCTCAATCAGCCCCTACCCAAAGGCCTCCATTCACAATCAACCCCTACCCAAAGGCATCCATTCTCAATCAGCCCCTACCCAAAGGCCTCCATTCACAATCAACCCCTACCCAAAGGCATCCATTCACAATCAGCCCCTACCAAAAGGCCTTCATTCACAATCAACCCCTACCCAAAGGCCTCCATTCACAATCAGCCCCTACCCAAAGGCCCCCATTCACAATCAGCCCCTACCCAAAGGCCTCCATTCACAATCAGCCCCTACCCAAAGGCCTCCATTCTCAATCAGTCCCTACCCAAAGGCCTCCATTCACAATCAACCCCTACCCAAAGGCATCCATTCTCAATCAGCTCCTACCCAAAGGCCTCCATTCACAATCAACCTCTACCCAAAGGCATCCATTCTCAATCAGCCCCTACCCAAAGGCCTCCATTCACAATCAACCCCTACCCAAAGGCATCCATTCACAATCAGCCCCTACCAAAAGGCCTTCATTCACAATCAACCCCTACCCAAAGGCCTCCATTCACAATCAGCCCCTACCCAAAGGCCCCCATTCACAATCAGCCCCTACCCAAAGGCCTCCATTTACAATCAGCCCCTACCAACAGGCCTCCATTCACAATCAGCCCCTACCAATATGTCTCTATCACAACCCTCCCCATGTCAGCCCCTACTGACAGGCCTCTATCACAACCCTTCCCATGTCAGTCCCTACCGACAGGCCTCTATCACAACCCTCCCCATGTCAGCCACTACCGATAGACCGTGATCAAAACCCTCCCCATGTCACCCACTACCCACTGGCCTTTATCTCATAATCAGTCCCTTCCCCCAGGCATCATTTCACAATCAGCTCCTACCAAAAGGCCCCTATCGCAACCCTCTCTGTATCAGCCGCTACCCACAGGCCTGTATCAAAACCTTCCCCGTGTCACACTTCCTTTCCACAGGCCTCGGTCACATCCCTCCCCATATCACCCCAAACCAAACACCTCTATCACGACCCTCCGCAGGTCAGCCCCTACACACAGACCACAACAACAGTACAGTTAGTTTTTAGCTTACTTGTATTATCTTAGTCCAGGTCGTTTGCCTTTCATAAGAGTGTATCCAAACGAGAAGCAATACGATTACTTAATTTGAAACATAAAAAATAATGTTAATATTTTTATACAAGTCTATGCAAACAAACAAGTAATTCCAATACTAGATTATATAAATGTACTTGGAAACGAGTAATATGATCACTAAACTATATACCTGCAAACTTAAACAGACAAGTAATATTAGAACTATATATAACTCATTATGACACAGAGAAGGAACATGCTGTACAAGGAAATAAGCAGTACGATGAAGTGGTAGTAGGGCAGTGAGGGAAATGTTTAATTTAATATACGTTACAACTGTTATCTCTATTGTATAATATCTACTCAGATTTATCACTGCCTTTTAGTAAACTTAGCACACATATAATAGCATCCTCCTCGCCTGCTTGTTGACGGATCATAATTTATGATTACTGGAAAACCACAGCAGGTAACTGGTTTACAATATGAGTTTGTATCCTAGAGACCTTGAACTGATTAAGTACCACGTGACAAGACAGGATATAACCTCCCGGGTTGTGTATTACATCACGTGACAGGACAGATGACATTACCCCCCAGGTGGCATATTACATCACGTGCACACAATCACCAATTACGTGTGAAAAGTGGATAATGATTACAGTATAAAGCCGTAGATTAAATTATTGCAGGTTTCCCCCTGTGATAACTGTTATCAGCGAGACGTACGACACAGTTAAACGACCTTAGTGATAAAGCGTTTTATTGACGCCGATGCTGTGACTTCTAGAATCGAATAGAGATGTTGTTTCAATTCAACTGAGCTTTGTTTCTCAACGTACAAAGGGTTCGGACAAAAAGTATTATTCTAAAACATATAAAATAAAGGGATGAATTTAGAAAAGGGGCAATATATGATACAAGGACGAGACTGGTATCTGCAATGCCATATAAGAAAAAGAAAGGTAAAAAAAAATCTGATTCTACAACGGTCACCGATTTGTTGCATTATTATGATATAGGATACAGCAAAGAAATATACCTTTTTCAAACACTGCATGAACATGGGGGCAAAATTAAAAAAAGGAATGCATGGAGGACGAGGACATAGATGTATCAAAGCTGAATATAAGGATAGACTGATAATTGAGAATGAGATCGTTTTGCATGTTTGAGCTCAGATATATTGAGTTTGTTTTAATATTGAGATTTAATTCTGCTCATAGTTAAACTTAAATTTATTTCTAATTTAATTTTCTGTTTTTGATGATATGTTTGTAGTGTACCAACTATCTTGTTTTCCGGAGGCCCTGTTAATAAAACGTTTTTGTTTCATTAGCACCATGCAGGACGGGATCGAGAAAAGAATAACAGGTGACTAATGTGAAAACCTCCTGCAGAATTGGGAATTGTTCGTGTGTCCTCTACTCGGGGACACAAAAGTGACCAAAATAAATATGCAGCACCCTTTTCAATATCCTGGATCTTTAGATTTCTCTCTCCTTCTTACTACTATTTATTTCTTAACGCCTTGGTCACTTTGTGATTTAGCATTGATTGTTTGCCCAGGTGAGGAAGGCAATGGGTTCTGTCCCTAGGCCGGGACATACCGAAGTCCTTAACAATGGTAGTTGCTATTCCCTGTTCAACGTTCAGTATTTAGGGTAATGGCAACAACTGGTTCATCCGTTGTTACTATAATGTGACCGGATGGAATGCTGTGATGAGTGCCTTCGGCAAGGTATACACAAAGAGATAGCACTATAAAGTCGGCATCAGCTCCGCGCTATCACAAGGAGGCAAATACGACAGCATACCCTGTCTTCGTCACACATACACACATGCACGCATACACAACACGCATTGAGGCACGTCCTGAAATGATCTGAGCTGAACGTTAAACAATATAAACCCAAATCTAATGCATGAGATGGGTTTCTACCTCTTTTTCTGTCATGACTTTTATCTTGTAACCTGGTATATCTTCTGTAAGTAGACATGATACAATAGTATAGGTACTTTGTATAGATTGTCTATGAACTTGTATTTAATACTGCAGTGTAACTGATATGATGTTTACATACACTTTTATGATGATGATGATGATGATGATGATGGTAGATATCAAAAGAATATGATTAGGTAAAGTCACTTTGAAACCAGAGCAGGTTCTTTAGTGTCAAACATGTGCAACACTGTTATTAGCACATCATAATTAGCTATCATAACCAGTAAAAGGAGCTCATACTTGATGTAAAAGAGACCGTTTTCATGATCCAATCCACGGGCAGTTTTTCTGTTAACTTTTTAAACTTCTCACAACGCCTGAGGAGACAAAAACACTGCACATTTAAAAAAAACAACGATAACAAACTATGGCAATAAAAAGGTTAAGTCTACGATATACTGAGAAAAAAGGGAACAAGGGAATTTAAAGTATAATCGTGAACACGCGAGTCTTTCTAAACGCATTATAAACAAGTACATCATGTACACAACGGTATCATCATTGTCATATGGTCACGTTAGTATAACAAGTCTGTTAAGAGCTTGAAACATGAACACCAACCACAATTTTGTATTTCTTAAACTAGATGTTAAAACGACATTCGTCTAGTCGCATGACGAGTATGTAGTTGTGTAGCAGACAAAGTATTTTATATTTTGGTTCTTGTCGGCAAACATTATTACATTGCTTGCTTGCAAACAGAACTGTAATTGAAGCTCTCATGCTCAAGCCTGCATTCTGTGCTCAAACCAACTTCCTTGTAGCTCGCTTAAATCACGTGACTCGGTCACAAAGTCGAATTAGATTTAGATTGATATTTAGCTTGAGGCATCGACAAATTTTCTTCTGAATCATCTATCACTGAAAAAGAAAAATTAGGCTTGAAATCAGAATTTTAGTTTGAACAAGAAACGATGTCATTCTTCACGTTCTGTATATGTAAATATCGTGTTTGTTCATCTTTTGTCAACTGTCATCGATTTTGAGTTAGAATTGTAGTGTTGTCAACACTTTGGTATTCTCTATCTAGCTGTTTTGATATGAACACATCATTATCGGTATTGTGAACTGGAAACATCAGCATGGCCTTTGTCTTTGGGTTGTATGAGACGTTCGTTATTAGTTCATTCAACTTTACGAATTTTACATCGATATAACGTGCTGTATGCTGGTCAGTATACGGACACATTACAAACATAACACAACATCAAATTATATCTAGAGTATTGATATATACGATTTTACAATGATATAGCATCAGTTTAAATGACTTAAAACGAAGAGGCCAATTTCAATCAAAAACTGTTGGTTTTTTATTTAAACATATTTTATTGCCTTTAAAGCAACAGGATTGGGCACAAGTTGTACAACTTATTTTAAGGCCCTTTCCCTAAATTAAACATCTGTATATACTTACAAAATTCAAGATGGCATATACAATATATATAGAGAGAGAGAGAGAGAGAGAGAGAGATTTTAAATATGCATTTTTTCATAATGTGGACAATCTTTTCCGACACTGACGGCAGAAGTTGACACTATACACTTTCCTAAACGTTCTGCTTGTACTATTGTCCATCACTCCCTTGCCTTGGTTTGCTTCCTCCTTGTCGTTCCGTTCTTCCTTGAATATCCGTTTCTCTTGTGCCGTCAGCATCGGAAAGGATCGGTACAAAAACATTTGAACTTATATTACAACCTGATTTTTAACTATAGCACAGAGAGATAGAAAGAAGGGGAGGGAGCAGGGGAGGTTTAAATCTGTTAGAATCATGAATATATTGCTGAGTATGCATGAAGATTAATTCATTTTCCTGCTCAGATAATTTAGTATCTCAAAAATAGAGTAGATTAACGGTGAGAGGAATATATGCATTAAGTTCACGGAAGAGGGTTATTCTTTGTTCAGCATAAGTATTGCAGTTAAAAAGGAAATGGTAATTATCGTCATTAGGATAGCCACAGCGACAATTTTGATCAGCGACAAGATTAGATCTAAATAAGTGTTTTTTCAATGCACTTGCTTGATTTCTTAATCTTGTATGTAAGATATATTTTTTTCTTTCTCCATAGAAATAAAAGTTAGGTACCTGGGGTAAATCTGTGTTACGGATGTAATTTTTAAAAGCTGAAAATGATACATCGTGCCTGATATCTAAGGGTAATTGATTCCACTACCTTATTGTAGAGGGGGGAAACGATATATTAGATGATTCTAGTCTGTTATCAGGCAAATTATAGTTTGATGCATTGCGAAGATAGTGCTGAGAAATATTAGCAACAACATGAGGGAGTAGGGTGTTTAGATAGTTAGGAGTAAAATTGTTGTGTATCTTAAAGAACAAATGAAGCTTTCGACGAGAGCGTCGTTGGGATAAAGGTTCCCATCCCGTTTCATTATAAAGAGATTGTCTGCTGGTATAAGAAGGTAAACCAGTGGCTATACGGCCAGCCTCAAGTTGTATTTTTTTCTAACCTTTCTGCATCAGCAACGGAACAACCGTCCCAGAGTTCACAGCAATATTCTAAAACCGGAAGAATACAGGTTCTATATATTCTATTTAATGTACGTCTAGTAAGGATATATTTCAATTTACGAAGGACACCTAATTGTTTCGCTACATTTTTACTAATATGTTCTATGTGATAGCTAAATGGGACTCTGTTCCGTTTACTTTAAATAC